GTAATCTATTGGGATCCAATGAATCCGGTTCTCTGTACTTCGCCTGTAATGGAAAACTTTATATATTTATATTTTATTTATTTATCACGAGAACAGAAGTGCAGTTGTAATTGGAGGAAACTTGTAATCTGTCATAGGAATTAAATACTGTAGCCAGAACATCACTGAATAGAAGCAAATCACTGTGTATACACTAGATTTAGTTGTTGTTAGCACTTAAAAACGTCATCTTAGGTAGTCTCTCTGAAAAGATTGTCAGTGGAGAAAAAAGACATTGTCTTAGGTAGGTTTAGTTACAGGCAGTCACAGATTTCACGAATTTCATCAAATTATCATAAACATTTCTGAGACCAAAATATGATTTATCAAACTTTTTACTTAAAAATAAATTCATACCACAGCTTGTCTCAGTTTTCTACTTGTTTCAGACCATGTCTTGACCTGTTCACTTGTAGTTTTCAATTTCTCCAGCAATGAGACCAGCACAGACTCCTTCTCCATTGTCAACGACCCATGAGAAGCTGAGAAAACACAAAACAATTTGGATTTAAAAAAATGCAAATTATCCCTTGTTGGTAAAGCAGATTGATACAAGATTGTAGGGTAGTATTATCAACCAATCAGTAATAACCTTTTTATCACATGACCAACTCTACTTTTCGATTTTCTTTATGGTTTGCTTACAGTTAATCTCTAATCAGTGTAAATAATGAATTTATTATGTCAAATGAATTTTTTGTAAACATAAATTTTAGGTAAAACAAGTCTGCAAATTTCAGGCTGTTTCTTTCAGAGGAATCGGCACAAAAAAAGAAAAAAAAACAAAATGGCCACCAGTCAGCCATCTTTGATTGAAATCAGCCTGTTCAGCTCCGAGAAACAGTTCCAGACATGTTTAAATATCAGAATTCAGCAAATTTGAGGACAAAATGGACGCCAGTCAGCCATATTTAATCGAATCAATTGAAAATTGGCGTGCATATGTAGGTTATTATACATTGTCTGTATTGCAAGTTTGTCCGAGAAATGGCTTCGGACGAACACATGGACAGATGGACAGACTTTATCAGAACGGGGACTAATAAAAGTAATTCTGATATACCAGTAATCATAGAATGGTGTTCAATGTGTAAAACAGACCAAATGTGAACAACACGTGTAGACGATAATGGCAATTTAAACCCTAACTGTGTCACCTAACTGTGTCACCTAACTGTGTCACCAAGCTGTGACTTTTCGGTGAAAATTATTTCAACACCACAACAGTTATGAATACATCTGTCACTATTATAGTTTTTATTTACTTATTTACTTTTTTGAATAAAATGCCTTCTTGAATAGCTAATCACATAATGCTTTATATTTAAGAGAATAAAAACAAATGCTATTGAAAGTACAAAAAATAAGATTCAATAAGATTCCATATTCCAGAGGCCGCTTACAGGTCTTGAAAACAAGCCAGATCTAGCTTGAATTAGCCATTTCAAAGTTTGCACTGAGCATTACTGCACATTTCGTAAAACAATACGAGTTTTCACCTCACAGCCTGTGCTAAGGAACCGTGCATGAACACAACTATTGTATACAGAGCAACAGAAGTTTCATCAATTTGGTAAATCAATTGGAATGGTAGTACACCTGCCCATAATAAATACATGTACATGTACATGCCTAGGAAATGTAGGCCATTATACAAATGTATCTATCTACCTTGTATATATTTATATCACTAAGTTATAAAAACATGTATGTGGCCAAAATTTCCATGGCCGAAAATTTTGGGGTGACAAACTGATCGAAACTGTGTAGTTGCTTAGGATACCACCAAGGGCAGATAAATGATAAGGGCATGCAACTATGTTGACATGTCGTGAAATAATAAGACACACCTGCATTTCTTATATTATGATTGTCATAGAATCTTTGTTGGATGACTCCGTCCATCATGATGTTTATGAAAATACTACTACATGTATCAAAAACATTTGATAATAATTCAGTGAGATTTGGTAGGCATTTTTGAGAGGGTGACCTTTACTAAACTGATCTCATTTCAAGTTGAGCTCAACATAAAGAAATGCCAAATAGGCACTATTATAAAATGATTCAATGATTTTAAATTGGTATGAATGAAATAGAATAATTTTGGCTAATGCTAAATTATAGAAAACCACATCATCTTCCAATGAGATATTATATTAAGGCTTGTGACGAACACCTGGCAAGTATGATATTTAGATGATTGTCGGAATATTACTCACAGCCATAATTATTGTTTAAAACAAAATACAAACCGTATTGATCAAAAAAACCGCCGATTATCATTCGTTTGCACAACAATAACAAACTGTATTGAAGTCTACGGCCCTGGATCACTGTGCTAGCCGTGACATTAGAAGGTTTCGCTTTTCGAAACGATCAGAGTGGGCGATATCTCATTATCACGAATACAAAAACACATTAGTTATCGATAAAAATGATTCGTATAATCTATGGCGTATATAATTAGAGATATATTACCGACAACTGGACGGATAGTAGGCCCGTTCATTGTCATCGTCGAGCGAACACTTCCCAGCTCCGTGGCCGCCATATTGGAAATAATGCAACTCTGGGTCATACCATGCTATGATGGGTGGGACAGCCTTCAGATGGCCGGGGTGATCGCGATCATGGGTGGAGGTAACTGTGATATCCGGGTAAGGGCAGATGATTGACTTTGGATGGGCGCGGGCAACACTTACATTGAAATTCGATGTTCTCTAAATGTTTTTTTGGCAAACAATCAAATATTTATTAATAATTTATTATCGATTATGCTATGATATCTCGAGCTGTTGAACGAGCGAATAAAACATTAGATATTGTGACTGATGGGATATTTTTATTATCCTGAATTTAAAAACCTGAGTTTCAGAAAGTCATAACAAACTACAGTGTTCTCACATTGCAGTTGTATGAAACTGTGCAATCTTTTCCTGTTCTTTCAAAACAACACAGTTATTATAATAATGCAAAAACATTTATTTTCACTGGCATTTAATTTCACTAGTTTGATGTTTTGAGCAATTTTATTGCGTTTTCAATTTCACGAACATGGCAGGAAAACAATGAGTTCTATTTAGCAAATTTTACTTATCAACGAAAATAGCTAAAAACCAGCGAATAATCAAGGTAATGCGTTTACAGTGAGGAAGGGGGTCTTCTTTATTATCTTCCGTTGCGGATAGCAGTCAGAAACTGGGGGTTACGCATATATTTCTTCTATGTTTTTTTCTGTAGAAACTTAAATAACTTGAAGCGGAGCAATGTATTCATAATTTGTCAGCTATGCATATGTCTATGCTACACTAGTATGCAAACAACACCTAGCCAACTAAAATGACTTTTTAGTCGATAGAATAATTTACCAGCATGCTTTTATCATAAACCATAACAACTGGTGAAAAGAATGCTGTTAATGCTACTCGTATTACGACTCCTCAGAGTCATTTAAAATTAAAGGGCGGTAGTCGTCGCGCCACGCATGCGTGAGATATATGGGTCTCATATGAACAAAGATGGCGACTTTGACTGTTGCGGCGTTACGAAGCTTTAATTAGTTTTTTTTTTAGGTGATTGGAAGGTATCGAAGAAGTCACCGGCGGTAATTAGTGAAAGTCACGCCCAGGCCGAACCACATATTTTCGCCGTTTCATGCACTATTCTATACCAATACACATACATTATATCATGATTTGCTGAAAATATAGTTAAATATATATTGCCCATGCAGTTGACAAATGTTTTTGAAATCTAAAATAACCCATAATTATCAAAAAGAGTGAAAACAAACTTATAAAATCAGGTAGTGTTGATGGTGGGGGATAAACTAGGAACATACAATACAAACATCAAAGTGTTATAATGTTCGAGTTGGAAAACACACTCCGAACACTGAGGGCGTCCTGGCCCACGACAACAATGTACCAGACAGTTCCTCAACAACGGGGCTGTGTAGCAGGCTATATAAAAAGCGCCGTTCTTTTACTTCGTTTTCGTTGACAATTATTTGTTATGTAACATGCGCATAAAATCCACATTACATAAAGTGAATTTCATGAAAGCATGATTTTTTTCATGTAAAATATTTATGAATCGGCCAACGATTGAAGGAAAAACGAAAATTCTCAAGGCGTTACTGAATGGCTACTATGGCGTCTTTTTTGGATTTGAATGAAGCGCGAGAGTTTCCCTCGCTGGGTATATGTTTTACAAATGTTCTTACAGAAAATGAAGCTTACTCAGAGTTGATAAACCAAATGGAAAATCAATGTAGAGCAATTCAACACCAAACCTCACATTTTGGAAAAAGGTATCTTAGATTGAGCAAATCTCACATAATTTTGTAACATACACACCGACTGTAAATACTCAAAAGTTTACTAAACAGATATTAATATTTTAGCCCAAAAATATAACAGTATTTAACAAAACACGTATTTTGCTAATATGCAGTAAATGCGAACAAATATTAAGTTAATATATATCCTGGAAAAGATTGCAGTTGCATTCACACAAAAATATTTAACACCGCCCCAAAACAGGTTAAACATAAACAAATTACAAAAATGATTATGTTTTTGCTAAGCAATGTAATACATGGATTGCTAGGGTAGCATACTCAAGTTAGTAACTTTTTCCAGGTTATTACATTGAGCGAGAATTGTTTTTTATTGTACATCGTTGCATTTACTCATCGTTGCATTTACTCTCTCGCTACCTTGTGAATGTGTTTTGTTATAGTGAGACAATGAATACGACTTAATTAGTTTGATTCACCTCACAGAGTAAGTGGGATTCATTCTTTTTGGAAATGATGTTTATTATTTGTTTCCGAATGTGAATTTCCAAATACAATCAACGATAGTAAAATCACAGTCCCTCTGTCACTCTGCATCATGCAGTTTGATAAAGTTCGTGGGATGGAAGGACTGTGGTGGTGTTAAACAGTGGTTTTCACCCGGATTTTCAGTGGTTAATGTATTTATTTGACGAATCATACTTCTGTGACATATGTATCTGGTAGGCCCCATATTGTTGGTAATTCCATGCCAAGTCTCAAGTACAGTCCCTCTATCAGATCAGTGACCTATGTAAACATTCTATGCGCACGTCAGACAAGTTCTGACAAATGCACCACGCACCCATATGCAAATCCCGCGAAGAAAGAAAAACGAAAGGCAAACAATGTCAATAGACCATGGCGAACTTCAAGAAAAGGACACGTCATGGCTAACGGCGATTGGTCAATTGAATTGAGCATGCGCAATGGGTTGCCTTTCCCAAACATGTCCGCGGTGTGAGTTTTACCGGTAGTTCTAGACCTGTCGTTGATTTACTGTGACTGAACGCACCTTGATCCTCCGACTATCACGGTAAGTAGTATTGACAAACGTAGATTACGATCACGATATTATAAATCGGCCTGACAGTCACAGCGATAGTGTGGTGGGAACCGGCCACATGTTTGGGACTCGAGTCAATGGACACTTTAATGTCAAAAGAACTTTCTCTCAACTTTTCAGGGGGTAGTGCTGCAGTAGAATGTTGTGTCATAGTTGCTCCTTGCCCCGTTGTCAAATTTATAGCCACGTTGTTGATATATAATACTATATTGCTCTATGTCAGTTTGATATATCGATTTTCACTCAAATGCACCTGGTGGTGTGTTTAAAATTAATACACTCAGTGGGATCTATCACTGAACGTCGCTGTCGATCAGCTGATACATTGTGTTGTTCTGATATTAATACGACGATTCAGATTTCCCACAAAACCAGAATTTATTGAAATAGTCGATCTGTTGTCCACATACATGTACATACGTATTTCTATTCAGAAAGAATTTAAAAACATCGAGGATTGTTGTTGTCAAAAAAACTTTGTTTTTCAATTGTGTTGTGTCTTTATCATGATGACTGTACGCCCTAAATGTTGAATAAAATAACTCTGTGAGTAACTCAAATTAGTGAGTTTTATGAATGAATGATACTAACTCCGGGATGAATCTCGGAGTGTTATTCAACGTCCAAGCTTGGACATCATTGGTCCAAGTAATCAACTTGTACTGATTGAATCACAAGGTCTTGCTGGAGCTGGTTTGTTTATGCAAATTGCAACATGTTTAGATGCTTTATTGGTGCATTACATCTTTCTGTGAAAAAAACTTTCCCTGACTTCAATTTATTATATATAGTCTGTCAAAGCGATATATTTTCCACGAGTCATCAATTTTGTGTGGCACATGTACCTGTATTAAGACAAGTGAACTCCCATAGTGAACACGCCCAAAACACTTTCATCCAGACATAAATTGTATGTGCATGGAATTGTTAAAAATAAAGATTTATTTTGTTTTTCTCATCTCCACTATTACATTATGATGGGCGTTAAGCTGCTACATATAGATTAAAAATTAGTTCTCTTTCTAATTGTGATGCTATTTTTCTGGTAGGTAAAATTTTGGGTGTTTGATGTAGGGGGATGCTCATTGTGTGTTAGTCATTGGAATCCACTTGTCTGTTTTATCAAGTCAGAATCACAATAGTAAGCCTTATCTTATGGAATAGAAAGGAATGGAATAGAGGAGAATAGAATAGAAAAGTTTTTTTTTTTCGTTTTTTTTTTAAGTTAAATGTACTTAATTTAAACCACTTGTATATGCAAATTTGACCATAGAATTAATAGTTCCTATCACAAACTGTAAGTGTGTATACCATATTTATCCGGGTAAGAGCTCAGAGTCCTGAACATATGCATGTATTGGGTAGTCCATCAGAATTGGTAGGCATAAAAAACTTGCAGACAGATTCTCAATTATTCAATGAATTATTTTGTTCATTATGGCTATTTAGATTTTTTTACCAGAGTTTAGTCAAATCTATAATTAATTGTAGTTAGTTTTTTAAATGCAATTTTAAACATATCATGAATCTTTCAATAATAATTTCATTGAAAGGTGTATATATTTCTCATATTTATTTTTGAAATATTCTGTACACCACTCAAAAGGTAGATTGAATTGGTTATATTATCGTTATTTTAATAATTAGTTTTCAAAGCAATTAAAAATTAATTGAAACTGCATGCATAGTTTTTATTAAAAAAGCATGTGTAAATGATGCTAAATTGATAAATTTGATTGCTACCTCGTTTTTATATGGTACATTGCCAATCATCCCCATAAAATATAAATATGGCTAAATATTTTTACCAATACCGTATTTGTTTCAGTATCACATGCACTTATTAGTAGAGGTACCGGTATGTCTATTGTCAAACTCGTAAATCATATTTTAATAATTCAGTATACAATAAATCCAGTTGTTCGGTTCACCCGCACTCATATTGGAATTGCGTTTCTAATAAAGCAAATATGGTACTTGCTGTATTTATGGTTATCAATTTTAAATGCCAACATTTTGCACATTTTGCACATTTTTATGTGATTTCTTGAAAGAATATGAACATTTCATTGTTGGTTTATTTTGTGTTTTTGAAGTTCAGAGAATCAAGTTATACATTGCTACAAAATTTTTCGGTTTTCCAGACTTGTGAAATTGGTTTTATACGCTATTTTGGAAGCAACAATACATCATCCGACTTAATGTTGGTGTACACCCATGTATTGGGCATTGCTTGTATTTGTCCTAATTGATGGTCGTTATGTTAAGCTGTTGTCTGTGCGAAATGCTTTTTAATCTCGTGTAGTAATTTTGGGTAGAAAAATATGCATATTTAGTAACCACCACTTCCCTTCCCAAGTTATGAATGATGTGAAAAAAAACATTTACCTAGTAGTAAAATATAAAAAAAAAAACGTTTGAAATTATTGTCAGCCATATTAACATTTCTCACCCAAATTTTTCTGCATGTTTTACTTATCTTCTTCAAAACTGGAGATGAACCCTAATTTTGGAGCCAACAGACAAAATTTGAATAAATTTTCAGTTTTTTTTAGTGAATTTGTGATGAAAAGAGGGAATTGGTGGTGAAAAGGTTAAAGCTTGCAAATTACAACATTGATACATTTGTATCATAAATTAATTAATTAATTAAAAACAATATAAAAAATAAGTCCTGAACAATTTTCACTGCTAGTATTATTCACTATTTGATAATTTTATTGGTTTGTGAAGACAAAATTCTGCAAAAGTCACTGACTCTGTGTTGTAGGACTAAAAAAATTTTCAATTTTCTCTGACTTGTGAAATTTAGCATGTATGTATTGTCAGAATTATAGTGATTAACATTACGTGGACAATGTAATATTTTGGTATGGTATATTCATTGACTCGTTATTTTTATTAGCTCCGCTGTCGACTTTGTCGAGCGGAGCTTATCATATGAGTGATTGTCCGTCGTCGTCGTCCGTGTCAATGTTTTACTTTTTCGACTTCTTCTTGAAAACTACAAGTCTGAATGCTTTGATACTTGGTGTATATGTACCTTGGGTAGACCTCTCTTAGGTTTGTTCATTTTATGTTGATATCTTCAATTCTCTAATATTGTCATTTTTGGTAAAAAGTGATATTTTCGACTTCTTGTTAAAAACCGCAAGTCCGATTGCTTTGATATTACATATATAGGTACTACATGTGGACCTCTCTCAGATTTGTTCATTTTGTGATGATATCTTCAATTCTCTAATTAATTTATTTTGGTGAATATTTTTGTAATTTTTGGTAAAAAGTGATATTTTCGACTTCTTGTTAAAAACTGTAAGTCCGATTGCTTTGATACTATTCATATTGTTCATTTTCTGATGATGTCTTCAGTTCTTTAATTGAAATGTGCATTGCTAACAGCAGAGCTATCTCAGCCGATAGGCTGCTTGTTTGTACATGTATGGTATGATGTATATTTAGCGTACCTGTAGTAATGTGATATTTTTGTTTGTGATAATTTACATCATTTTGGAGTTGAAGTAAGGTACCGGTATATAGTAATCTACAATACTTTATTTTAGCTGGAGTTATTTTCCTCTGCGAATATATTCTAGGTGTTTTGTATGACATTTACATATATTTTCACCGAATTTTAATGAGTTAAATGTGAAACATATGTAAAATAATATTTTTAATAGTATAATATTTTCACTGGATTTTATTTTAACTGATTCATTCCTTCAGCAAAAATAAATTGTAAATGAAAATAATGTACTTTACAGTACTAGACATGTGGTGTTTGCCATCAAAAACAACCACATCATAGCTACTGAAAATGGCTGGAGAGTGAAAAAATATCTCTTATTCATTTAGGTGAGGCACAGGACTAATTTCAATATGCAGGAAATAATTTTGCGTGTATTTATTAATAATTTTTTAAAATTTCAATGAAATTTGGCGCAAATGATTTGCTCGCCTTGAAAAGAAAAGTCTGCATACATGTAGTAGTTGTTTTGAAATGAGGACATTAGACAGTGTACCATATGTCATAGACCCATTCGCTTTATTGCTACCGTATATTCACTCATTCTGTGTTGTAATTTGTAAAGATATTGATTATTTTCTGCATCGTTGCTGGCACATTTTGGGTTCCAAATTATGTGAAATGTAGGAAAGATAACAATCAAACATTATAAAAACGAGATTATTGTAAACTGCTGTAATTTCACAAGAGATATGCACTTCCATAAATGACAAGAAGGCATACATAAGTGAAAACAAGTTATGTTTAATGATAATGCTTTTTTTTTTAGGTTGGGGGTGAGGTTAGTACACTTCTAATCGGGCTGCTCATTGGCAAGAGTGAAATCTGAAATCTAAACATAGTTTCAATTACTGTAAAAGCATTTAATTTTCAATGATCAAAATATTTTGCAATTTCAGGCATTTTATGGCATTCATAAAGATAAGATTTTCTGAAAGTCACTGACACATTATGTCGTAGGAACACGGATAAATTTTTGAAAAAAATCGGCTCAGGGGGGGGGGGGATTAAGTGGTTTACAGTATACCTTTCCTGTAGATAAATTCCTGCCATATGAATGCATTAAAATCTTGATGTGCCCATAGAACATATGGCCAGTTTGGTTATTTTGCATTTTTTTTTCACTCCAAAAGATTATGAAAATTTTTTCGTACATGATGCTGCTGGATGGTTAATATAGTGATGAGTATCGATAGTTGCATCTTTGTAGCATTGTCTAAATCATACACCTTACAAACAAAAGCCAGATATGTAACATCTTGTTTTGACATCGAATTTAAATTAGGTTTTTCATGACAATTCATCTAAATTTGTATGTCATGTGTAACATCTTGTTTACAATTTTGCAATTTCGAAAAAAGTTCTCAAGACTAAATAAATAAGTTGCTGTACCAATGAATGTTTTGTGGAAATGTTGTTAATGTCACACAACCAATGAAGTTACAATGAGAATAATTTAATCTGAAAGTATAAATTTTGAAATTAATTTGTAATTTTGTAAAAGATAACAAAATGAAGAAAATAATTGTGAATAAATAAGAATGATAGTGATAATAATATTGATTACTACTGATTGTAATTGATTAAAAGACCATAGAAATACATTAACTATTCTGGAACAGAAAATCTAAATAAATTTATCCTTAAAGAAGGACAAGCTTGAAATCAAAGCACACAGGCAAGGATCTTGTAAATTATCATGAGAAATTGAATGCAAGTCTGCTCTTGTTAACATTGATATTCAATATTCACAGTTTTATCTTATCAGTTTTTGTTACAGTGAAAATCAAAATGTCAGTTGATACACAGTCTTTGCAAATCATTCAAAAGAAGTTTGAAACAGGGACTTATAATTCACTCTCTGTCCGTCCGTCTGAATCATATTTCAAAACCCTGTGGACCAAATGTGCCTAGTACTTTATCTGGGACATGTGCACTTGCAGTGGTTTGCTGATTCAATCCAAGATGGCTGACTGGCAATCATTTTGGTTTTTGAAAATGTAGTACCCCCGGTATATTATGCATGCTTTGTGAGTTTTTGTTCAAATTTGCTACACACATTTTACATTTTAGATTACATATCCCTTACAACTTGTTTTACAATCAGGTTAGATGGCTGACTGGCGGCCATCTTGCTTATAGACCATACTGCTATATCTCCAAGGCTTTTGAACCATTTTCATTCATATATGGCATATACATGTGTATAGAAATACATGTTCATGTCAGTTTGTTCCATAATCAGATCAAAGATTTGTTTTTATCTGAAGTTTATAATAAATGCATAGTTGTGTTAGCAATATCCTTTAAAATGTACATGTAGTGCATTTGGAATGAAATAATTTCTGTACAAGAAATGCAAACACTTTTTTCTTGGTCTTGTGAAAACTTGAGACAATTTTCTCATTCATGAGGGACTTGAGAACAGACAGAGTCAGAGACATGAAGTAATTTTTTTCTACTCTTAGTGGAGACTGTCTCAATTGCATGTTTTTAAATTGTCTTCTGTAAAACTACTAAGTATATCAAGTTTTATATGAAAACAGACTTGTTATATTTCATTTTCTTTCTACTTTTTTCTACTAAATTATTTGTATTTCTGTAAATTATTATGAAATAACGTCTCATTAAAGAAAAAAAAACACAAGATCAAAATGTCTGTTTTTTTTTGTTTTTTTTTTTTTTTTTACAGAGAAAGTTGGATTCACACTCCAGGAATATATGTCTGAAACTATTTATAGGTGACCAATCAGAATGAATCATTTACACCGTGTGACTCATCTTTTACTTTTTGTTGTGTTATTTGTCAATTTTGTCGTCTGCGATGACTATTACGAAATATTAGGAATACAGCGAGATGCCAATGCAAAAGATATTAGACGTGCTTTTAAAAAAATAGCCTTAAAAGAACATCCAGATAAAAACCCGGTAAGTACAAGTTTTGGTATTTGTTTGATTTTCAGAACTATTGAAATTGTGACCTGAATCAGGGGGGCACACTTTCATCAACGTTCGAACATCCACGCCATGACGACCACCGGCATTTAATCACTATGGTAATGTATATACATGTACTGTAAAATCTGTATTAGAAACCACAGCTTCTATTAAAATGTTACAATGCAACAGAGGAGATGTGGTTTCTATTAAAGAATATACACATATGAGAAATGATGAATTTTTGGTTATCAATTATTAAAAAGAATGGGTGCGACTTCTTTTACGGATGCGCCTTCTAATACAGATTTTACAGTAATACCCATTTAGTTCATGTCGGAGCAAATCTGTTAGTGAGAGCGCAATAACTGGCATTGACCATCATCTCAGGCTAGTACACCATGCTGAAAAATCATTTGAATCTTTACAGCAAACTAGTCACATTCACATTTGATATATGTCGTTATTTTGGAAGGGTGCTCTCATTATGATATCAGTTAATTAGATCAAATGTGAAATAAATAGTCCACAACTCGAAATGAATTCCAATGTGTAAACATAATCTCCATTTTGTATCAAAATGGTGGACGATTTTTACGATTTACGTTTCTGCATATGTCAATATGTCAACTTCCCCCCCATGTTCTAATCAAGTTCATACAATTAACATCAAGACATACTATTCCAAATGCTAAATAGACTGATTGAAATTATGTAGAAATGTGATATTATGTGACAATGTACTCTAAAATCTGTATTAGAAGTTGCGACTTCTATTAAAATGGTGCAATGCAACATATCTAACCATATGAGAAATGATGAATTTTTGGTTCTCAATTGTTCAAAAAGAATGGGTGTGACTTATATTAGGGATGCAGCTTCTAATACAGATTTTACAGTAATGTTGATGTGGTGGCAAATGCGTCTTGAAGGGTTTATGACAAATAAATAGCTTTCACTGCCAGAATCAAATACTGCTACGTTGTATGGCTACCCAGAATGTGTCACATGTGGCTGATATCACAACACTAACGTCCAGTATGCTATGAACCGAATGCTATACAGTTTTCTTTTTTTCACAAACTGATTGGAATAGGTCTAGTTCATGACCTCTAAAGGTCACACATCCTGGTACTTTCATTAAATACCAAAAATAAATTTATTTTATTGATATTACAGCACAATTTCCTAGATTTAACAATTTATCTATTGGTACTTTACAGGCTATGAACCTGGAATTCGCAACTGCCAGTCCAAAACAATTCAACTTCATGAAAAATGTAGATGCTTTTGAATATATTTTGGTAAAACTATCAAAGAAGAATAGGGGAAAAAACAGAAAAATGGGGAAAAGTTGCCAGTCCGACACCCTGGTACTGGAGTAAAATGTTAAAATGCCCAATTTGTTCATGTGATGTGCGACCTTTAGGGGGTCATGAGATTTGCCTATTCGTATGTCCTACCGGTATTTTTCATGTAGGTTACTTGTTCACTTGTTAGTGTTTTGGATTACGACCATTGTTTGGATTTTTTTTTTCATCTGCATGAGCATATGTTTGATACTCAACACATTAATGATTCAACCAATCAAATAGTTACGTTCATTTTATAAATGCTGGTAAGGCAGAAGGTAAAAGCATACTGGATGTTTATTGTAGCGATTTTAACCATGTATAATAAAAGTTGTGTGTGAACCAAATATCTTTAAAAAAAGGTAAATTTCCTCTGAACCGATTATTGCCTTTTTCAATGAAAGTTGTTTTTTTTAAATTCACATATACAATGTAACACCACAATGTCTTGTCCTTTTAGGATGACCCACTTGCACACGAGAAATTCTTAAAAATTAATAGAGCATACGAAGTTCTCAAAGATGAAGAACTGCGTAAGAAATACGACAGATTTGGTGAAGAAGGCCTAAACGAACAACAAGGTCAATGGGGTCAAAAATATGAAAGTTGGAACTTTTATAAAACAGAATTTGGTAAGTTTTCGTCTCCGTTTGTTATCTAAATAAATTGATCATTTAATGTGGGACTGTGTTTCTACTAACAGTCGAAATGGGGTTGTTTATCTACACCAGCACTGTAGATGGGAACAGAGTGTGGCTAAATTGATTCTGAATGCCAATCTTTTATGCTCAGACTGTCACAGGCATGATAATTATCTATTTCCCAGTGGAATAATTCATTAGTAGAACACAATATCATGATATCAAAGTTATTACAACCTCTATGCCATTCACATGTTTGCCCATGTACAAAACAAGATATGTTGAATTTAAGACATTCATCTCAGGTATTGTTTTTTGTTACAGGCTTGTACGATGAAGATCCTGAAGTCGTCACACTTAGCAAGTCAGATTTTGGTGAGTATTGAAAATACGACTGACCTGTGGTTAGGAAAAATTGGGTACGGTAATGTTGTTGGGGGGATTGAAGGAAAGGGTGAAGTTAAGGTGAAGGTTGAACATACCTGCAATTAAAAACTTGATACTCAACAGAAAAATATTAATTATTGGATTATTTTATCTCAATGTCTTTTCTTTGTACATCTTAGTGAAATTAAATTGTTTGTCACTGTATGTATTGTGTTAGATTAGATTACACATAGGTACAAAATTGTTAATGTTAATTGGCATGTCGGGCATGTTCAATATCGACATACATCTACCAGATTTTCTCTTACTCACATTTGCTTATTTCAGTGAATGAAGGATGTGTGTCTATAAACAAAATAAGTCGTATTTTGATTCTGCTACAAAATAATGTAATTTATGGTTTATATGCAATTCTATTGGATACTGTAAAATATGTTGAAAAAGCGACATACTATTTTAGTGAAATGTGGTAAAATGACGTAATTGTGAAATGTTGATTTGGAAAATCTTTCTAGTCTTTGTTGATTTCCTGTTTTCACAATACTTGTCTGTCACCTGCCAAAACAAATGCGCAGTTATCACCGCCATAAAAACAAAGAAAAACTGTCAAGTGTGATAAGGAAGCGCTCCAGATTATTACGTTTTCTGTGTTGTTTACAAAGTGTGTGTGTGGAGAAAAAGACGTTGTTTGGTCGCCATTTTGAATTTATAATGAAGTCATTAGCGACATCTTAAATTAGCGAATTAGTTCTCCTGCTAAATTCACTAAAAAGACATGTTCGCAAAAAAGACATGTTTTACAGTATATGCTTCAGTAACCTCATAGTCAATAATGAAAATTACAGCACGGTCTCAAATGTCAGCTATAATCATTGCAATTGTGAAGACCCTGACATTTTTACTATAACCCTTCTGTTAACGTTGATTACGGTACTCTTATTAAACCATATTTGTGTTGAAATTTGGAATGAATAAATGAAGGTTGCCATTTTGTTTTGTTTTTAATTTTACAGAACATTCAGTATTCGGTCAGGATATATGGTTTGTTAATTTTTATTCTCCGAGATGTCATCATTGTCACGACTTGGCTCCTACGGTAAGTTACAATTCTCAATGGCAGAGCTACAGAATGTTCTATGTTCCTAAGACTGTACAATGTATTTCTATGGGCTCTGTGCGAGCTGCTGTGGAACGCCGGTCGAAGAGCCGGTGAAAATAGCTAAATTCACGGTAACGACACAAACTCAACTTCAAAGTAATTTTGGACAACCAAATTTATATATGTTGCATATGTATGGGTAATCTGCACATTGTTCAAGAGAGGCTCAACAACTAGCCCAATGTACCGTTTCCTGAGTTTTCGGCTTCAGTTTTCACCGGTGATGGTTGCCAGGTGGTGAAAATACCCAGATGTCCACCAAGAGTTTAACAAACAGATAATATTTGTGATGTTCCCAAGCAAGTTATATACATGTACAAATCTGACTGAGGGAACACTGGTGATTGTATCTTCCGAAATCAATGTCAATAGGTCACATGACTGCCAGTCAGCCAATGAACACTGTTAGAATTGAATCATGACTAGTTGAGAGTAAAATCTTTTGTGTGACACAATTTTTACTAACATGCATTTATTTTTTATTTTTTAGTGGCGCAAGTTTGCTAAAGAGATGGAAGGCGTGATTCGTATTGGTGCTGTAAATTGTTGGGATGACAATCCTTTGTGTACGGCGCAAGGAATTATGTCATACCCAACACTCAAAATTTACCCCCGGGTAAGTAAAATGAAACCTGTCTATTAAAATCAAACTGCGATGGTGAAAATTGTTTGGTTTAATACTGAGTTGTTACACTGAAACCTGTGTAACCTGAGCAGCAGTACAGAGGTGTTGCAATGAAACGTTTCTAAACCAAACAAAAATGGTGACGATTATTCTATTTTATAGAGGTGTGTTATATGTTCATTGAAGCTTATCAACCTGAACGACAAAGATGAAAACTTCAGTGTATGGAGGTTTTGGGTTTTCTGATATATTTTGTATTAGTATTCTATTGAGATGAGTGCTGGATCTCTCTGGCTGGGATTAATTAATATTCATAAGCTAATTAATTAATTAGTTATTATTATTTATGGGTCAGCCTATACACTACATTTAAAACCAAATTGATACATCATTAAAGATTAAAGCAATAAATATATAAATACAATACTACAATTATTAAAAAATAATTTAACTAGCCTTAATTAATATTCATTAGCTAATTAATATTTATACATTGAGCTCATAATTGTTACTGATCATTTTTCACTCCTGATTCTCCATCATTCTAAATGTTCAGTCGAAGATAACATTATTATTTCCCCATCTGTGGCGAGGAAATGCCTTTCCACTAGATTAACTGTTTGTTGTTGTCAACGTTTTAACCAAATGTTTTTCAATAATTTATCGATTGGTCATGATTTTTGATTGTGAATTCTAAGATGCATTATGTTTTAGTTGTGAAATAAAAAAAAGGGAAAATTACCTCAAAATTGTTGTTCTTTTCCGTTTCCGGGACACCAATCTTGACTTAATTTTAAAAATTGAATGTCAAATTTTACCAGACGTAGACCGATGTGGATTCGATATCGTTATTTTTGGAATTAATCACTAACATTCCTCGTTTCTCTGCTCTG